CCCGTCATCAAGGACACCTAAAGATTTGCTATCCAGCTGTAGTCAACTTTCCTTAATTTCCTCAGTTCTTTTTCCTCAGATTTTGACAACTGGTGTATAATATCTTCTTCCAAGTCCTCATTATTTGTGTCCTGGACTGTTTCAGTAAAATTAGTTTCTTCATCTGAATCATCACTTTCTTTTTGTTCTTCCATATCTACATCATCAGGACTTTCTTCAGCACTTTAACAGTAACAGAATAAAATATTAGTAGTTACTATTTGAAACTATTTCTAAGCAGTAACTTTCAGATTTCAGACACTGATCACAAAACAGAACCATCTGTACAGAGTACATGAAACATCTTGTTATGTATAGCTTACGAAGCATCATAAAAGGGCAGATGAATGTTTAACAAGTTTGAATCACATACTGAATTTCTAAAATACACACATACAAAAGATTTGGCACTTATTTTCAATGCATTTTGCTGGATTTAATCCTTTTCTGTCCTATTTTCTATCTCTATTTAAAAACTATAAAAAGGAAATGCATTGGAAAAATATTTTATTGTAACGTTCACAAATCATCCTGTGTAGACCATCGAAACACATCCTAAGATGTTGTACCTCTTTGTCTCCTTCGACAGCAGCAGTGAGTTTATAAATACGGAACACAAAAAAGCAGCAGACGGCAGCACATGAGCTGGAGTGCGCAGAAGCTGGAACCAAAAAGGAAATGGCAGGGTTTTATTTAAGGGTGCTACCTCTTGGCATAACATCCTCCAAGAGTCCTTACTAAGTAGCTATCACTATGATATCAGGAGCCAAGCACATAAGGCTTCCCCGCAGAAAGACGATGATGTTTACCTTCCTTCCTAAATTTCAGAAAACATACAACCCCCTCCTCTCACCACAGGTAGAGGCCAAAACAATCCAAATCTAAAGTTATGCTGTCTGCTCTGGGCATCATTAGCAATGCACAGTATGCAAATGAGTATTTAACTGTCTGAAATAACTTCCAGGTGTTTTGAGAGATTGATGGTTTTATGTTGCTTAATAGTTACTTACTTCACTGATTGCTGGGATGTTTTCTGTCAAAGGTAGTTGCACCAACTCATTCCCCAAAGCTTCTTGTCCTTTCTCACCCTGCCGCCGCCGGTGTTTCCCCAGTATAAAATAGAATGGAGTCGTCGGAAGACTTTCTTCTGCTAGGAGCTATTAGAATTTGAAAAAAAGGGAAACATTTCAGTACAAAGGTGAGCCTGCTTAAAAACCAACAATCTATACTACAGCATTGGAAAATGTGAGGAATGGAGAACTTCAGAAATTACCTAGTATGATTCTCATTGTACAGATAAAGGAACTACGCTTAGCATTTCTACTTATTGTGAAAGACAGACTGTACAGTGGACAAGGGTAAAATGTCTACTTACCTCTGTCTCCTCTCTAAACCCTACAAAAAGGGCAGTGAAAGCTTTTCAAGGCAGAAACCGAGAATGGCAGAGAGGCCTATATATAATTACACCAGATATTTCCTCAGTAAAACTGCTGAGCTATTATATAGGGTAGACCAGAGGAGACAGGTTCCCCCTAGGGCAGAGGTTCTCAACCTTCCTAATGCCATGGCCCTTTAATACAGTTCCTCATGTTGTGGGCCCTTGCCACCCCCAACCATAACATTATTTTTGCTGCTACTTCCTAACTCTGATTTTGCTACTGTTATGAATCGGTCGACCCCTGTGAAAGGGTCATTTAACCCCCAAAGGGGCTGCGATCCACAGGTTGAGAACCGCTGACCTAGGCAAAAACCTCCAAACGGCTCTTTGGGACCACTTTTAATTAAGATTGGACCGCAAAGACCCATCAAACAACGAGGAACATCTCTTGTGGAAAACAAAGAACAACAAAGATTGAAGACAAGCAAATACTAAAGTGATGGAAAGAGAATTGTGCAAGGGAAAAAACAACACACGTATTAGATGATAGAGGAGCAATTTCAAAATATCAGAATACCAGAAAAAAAAAAAATCCCTCACTCTTTGCTCAAAACCGCCCAAAAGGATCCACATATCACAGAGAGAACAGGTCTACCTTGACTAGGTAAGGTGCCCTGGTGATGTAAACAAGGCCAGCAATTTGAACCCACCAGCTGTTCAGCAGGTAAGAGCAAGGCTTTCTGCTCTGTTGAGGATTTATAGCCTTAGAAACCTCAAAGTGGAGTTTCTACTCGGCCTTACAGGGTCTCTGTGAGTCGTTGTGTGATCTTGACTACTGTACTTAAACTGTACCCCATCTCTTTCCTTTGCCCCATAATTCTTTTTCACCTTCTAAAATGTGACGCATTTTACTTATTTCATGCTCATTGCTTACTGTCTATATCTTTTGGCTAGATTGTAAGCAGAAGTGTAAAGGTTTGGTTATTATGTTTAGTGATATATTCCTTTATCTAGAATAGTCCCTGGGAGTAGATGGTTAAGAGATTGGTGAGTGAATTCGCTAACTTTTCAGAGAAAAACATAAGCTAGGTTATAAAAGACGAAGAGTAAGTATGGCACTGGGCTTCCAACAACACCAGAAACTATGAAAGAATGGAAAGTACTTTATAAATTCTAAGAGAAAGTTATTCTCAACCAAGTGGGAGCGTCAACTGCCAGGTCTTAAACTGACCACCTGGGTACTCAGAGCATGTGCTTCCTAGAGCAAGGAGTGCCCGAATAAAGAGGGTCCCTCTTTGCAGCTGCTCGGACGCACTCGAGGTGGAACCTTCAGGATGATTGATGGAGCAGTTAGCACCCCAGGTGACCACTGTACAACCAGGTTAGGCCACAGCAGCTCAAAGGCCTTGGTAAATATGCTTTCAGTACTTGAAGTATCAAATGTATCTAAAAACACTGAGAGGAGATAGGCTCAACTTGGGTAGCATTTGAGGTTGAATTAGGTGAGAAACACACAGAAAACTAAGTAAATGAAAAACAAGACAATCATTAACTTGAGCAAGCAAAATGTTGGTCACAGAGGGAAAACCAATCTGTGTATTACTACATGCTCTGTGGTCACAGGACTGACACGATTAAAAAAAGTGCTGACCTAATTTGAGAGATATTTATATTAGGGTATGTGTGGGGTGGGGAGTGGCGGGGCATGTTGGGAAGTGTCAGGGAAGGTGACGAGAGCAAAAAAGCCAAACCTCCACCTTCAGTATATAGGAGATACTACCCAAACGTGAGAAATCTGGAATCGGCACCAAAAGCATGTTCCTTAGTGACATGCAGGTAAATAACAACTCCAGCTAAGAGCTGAGTGATCACTTTTATGGGTACTGGTGAAACATGTTTGGGAGACCAGTTTTTCTTTAAACAAAGCAACCCCCACCCCCAACCCCCCAAGCAAACCCTGCAGCCTATCTGCCTCTTTAAATCACGAGCACATCTGAGTGATGATCCAGAGGCACAGTCAGCTGGTGTAAATAAGTACAAGGATGTCAATTCTATTTTAGGGCGAGGTGACGCATGTGCTTGCTCACAGCTGACTTCTGAGAGATGATCTCATCTCTGTAGGGAAGCAATGCAGCCTGCACCGGGACTGGCTAAAACCCAACATACCTGCTTGCTTGTTGGTGTGAGTTTCTCTTCTGGAGACTTTGCACTGAATGTCAACAAACTCTGAAAGGAGAGATCGAACAATGTTTCAAAAGATATATTTAGAGTGCAAATTTAAAGTGTTTACAAGTTAGGTAAGGTGGTTCATTTTTCTTTTAGAGATATATACACACACACACATATATTTGAGTTTATGCAAATAATGGGGCTTCAAAAAGTTTACAAAGAAATGCTATTAAAAGCACTCTAAAATGGAATTAAAAGAATTCTAAAATAGACCTTTCCCATGGACTTTCTAAAGGCCTCCTCTGTGCCTCTACTTGGCCACAGCACATGACAAGAGTAGACAGGCGTATCGCAACTGCTGTGAAAGCCAAAGGGCTGTTCTGAGAGCTCACCTTCAGAAACGTGCAGTGACATAAATTTCAACTGGTAGATCCAACTTAAACCACCAATTCCCACCGAATCCAATACGTAAAATAATTAAAAAAACAACAACAACCAATGAAAGGTATTTTTAGTAATCCTTTGCTTTTGTTGCTTTGCTGTCCCTAAGCTCATGATGTGATACATCAGGGTCTCGCAGCTGTGGCAGCAGAGTCCCTGTGCAGTACAAACGGCAAACCGCTTGGCTTTGAACCAGAGGTTTGTGGTTCGAGTTCAGCCAGGTGTGCCTGAGGAAGGCCTGTGTCCTTATTGCTGCAGAGTCCATCAATGATTTCTTTTGAGAACCAATTCTTTAATGAAATTATTCTACCTGGCCTGGGAAGATTATTAAAGCCACCAGAAATTACACATACGAAGTGAATACCAGAAGAAGGTTGAGCTACCTGTGACTTTGTCAGGAAGTAAAACTGTGATCTGTTCAGCCACTGGTAAGCTTCTGAGGTGAACGCCTCTGGGGCATCCCGTGGGACAAACACGCCCCAGTGCACTTCCTCGCTGCAGATATTCCTTTGAACATACAATGGCCTTGGCTCACTAGGTTTAAATACAAACACTAGAGGGAAAAACAAACAGACATCAACATTCTGCCTGCAAAGGTTATTAGTCCAGCTCAGATTGGCAAACTCCATGAATCCTGGGACGTATCCCATGGATGCCAGTCATTTCAGGCTTCGATACAAATGACAAACCAGATGCCCACTCCCTCCGTGCAAGGTTAGGGCTGAGGGCCACTGAGAAAAAGAGAATGAATAATCCCTGCTCAGAGGTCTGGGCCCACTGAGGAAGACACTAAAACATTAGTAATAGCATTTTGTGGTAAATATTAGAATAGGGATATGCAGAAAGTGCCTTAAACACAGAGAAAATGTACTGCTATCAGCCAATGCTGACTCATAGCACCCCCCAGTGGGTTCCGAGACCCTAACTGTTTAGGGAAGCAGAAAGCTCAGTCTTTCTCCCGTGGAGAATTCTGGGTACTTTCAAACTGCCAACCACGTGGTTCCCAGCACAACGTGTAGCCTCTTTGCCACCAGGGCTTGTAAACAGAGAGGAGGCGTTCTTATTTCTTGGGGGAGTTGGGAATGTCTGAAAAAGGAAAAATCTCTCTTAGCTTTTGATGGGTAATTTGGAATCCACCTGTGGAAAATGAGGAATGTTCTAACACTCGGTACGAATACCCACATAAGAAGGTGTGGAGCAAGGTGGCAGGAAAAGGAAGGTAGTGCATCTCAGGCAAAATGGCTTCAAAATAACATTTGATTGAAAGAGCAGTTTCACTTTAATTACATAAAAGTTGTTAAAGAGAACATTCTGGTAATGGCTCACTCCTGATTTGTACTTACAATCTGAGCCCACCGGAGACTGAGAGACTGCTGCAATATTCTCTGAATTCGGGTCAGGTTCTATAACGCGGGCACTCAGTTTTGTACTCCATTCAACTGGGGGTGAAAAACACCAACATGAAACATTTTTAAGTATAGACCTACCCAAAGTTCTAAAAAGGAATTTGAAGTGAGAAAACTTCCTTACTCATTTTTTACTGTACACTACTACTGATGCTGCATAACTTTCAGACTTCGCTTTTAAACTCGGCATGTCTGTTCTGAATGTGCAGTGACCGAGTGCTGGACTTCTAACCCAGAAGTTAGTGGTTCACACCCATTTGTTGATTCAAGGGAGGAAGATGAAGCGGCCTGTTCCCAGACACACTCTCGGCTCCAGAAGGAAACCCAACGGGGCAGTTCTGCTCCATCTGATAGGGTTTGGTTTTATTCTGTTTTGGTACTCCAAAATCTTTATTGCGACAATCGTTATCTGTTATTACCAGGAAAAGAAGCTTTACCCTCCTAACCAACACAAGGACACATTTAAATGACCGTGGAAGGCCATGCCACAGTAGCAGGAAAAATAAAAATACAGCGGAACTAGTGCTCCTACACACGTCAGTGGGAACTGTGGGTAAAGCTTAACCGGTCACTGTAACCCACTGCCGCCAAGTTGATTCTGACGGTGACCCTACAGGACAGAGCGGGAGTACTCTGTAGGACACAAGGACTATAAATCTTTACAGAAGCAGACAGCCTATCTTTTGCCTACACAGCGAGCGGCCTGAACTGTAGATCTTACACTCAGCAGCCCAAAGCCTTAGACCCTGCACCACCAGAGCTGCCGTACAGAACATTAAAAAAAGTTCTTCATAAACATCTATCACGAAACCACTATGCTTCCAAATAGATTTGAACTGAGTAAAATGCAGTAAGTTGACCTTTGTCAGGAAGATGCTAGCAGGTTAAAATTAGTATCTTAAAGACTGCCAGACATCGTAGACGACTGCACGTAACAAACTAGCAGCAGTGTCCCCCAAACTGCCATCGCCAGTCTCGGGAGCCCACTGAGGGTTGAGATGGGTCAGAATCGACTCAGCGGCAGTGGGTTCTTTCCCTTATGTGCTTTTCCAAATCACTTTGCAGTAAAACATATCTTACGCATGCAGCTGAGCAGATTCCAACAGCAAAGGATGTCATTTTCCGTGGTGGCAAGAAGATACTTGGAGCACGTCAATCGCCCAAAGCAAAGGTGCCTAGGTGAGAGCCACAGACAAGCCAACGGTCAGCTCTAGCACATTCAGTCACAGAGGATCACGACCATCACGCAAAGCAGAGTTTTAAACAGACATATACTATTGCTCATCATTATCCTGTAGAAAAAAAGGGCTAAAGAGTTAAAAAAAAAAGAAGTGAAATTTAAGCAAACAAGGCTGAAGACTAATTCTTATTTGCAATAAATTAGAGACTATACTAATTGTCATCTAGAAAGAAAACGTGTATGAAATGGCGGTAACCTGACAAAAGCCTGGAAAATCTGCCACTTGACTGCTGAAGAGGATATTAGGAGTAAATTCAGAATCAGTCATTTGGGAATTAGAAGTAATTTCATTAGCTTTTTGCCTTGGTAGCTTCCTTAGGCCTTCAGAGCATAATATAGTTTTTGAAGGGAAGATAGGTAAAGATTTGGGAGCAACTAAAATTTATATTTAACTTCTATTATCATATAGCATTTAGTGCAAAATACAGATTATTTACTAGCAAGAAAAACGTCTACACGTCAAGAATCAAACCTTAGTTCCAATTTCAGAAATGGATAATCATAGCACAGTGGTTCACAATAGTCCCACAACTAGTAGCTTGCCGGCATTTTGGTTAGCTGTTTTGTTCACTAACCTTCAACTACCTTTAAAGAATAAATTATAACTGAAATTATAAAGACTGGCTTAGACAACAACAAAAGTACTAAACAGTCCCCGAATGATTCACCTACCTAATTTTCCCAGCTCGTTGGCAGAATGTCCACTTAAGCTCCCATGTTTCCGAATCCCATATTGTGACAATCTCCTCAAAAGTAACCGCAAGTAAAGAGCCATCTTCAGAGAAACAGCAGTTAGTTGCTTGGTACTTGTGGTAACTGCCAACAAAGTCACAGGTCCAGCCAAAAGCCTTTTCTGTGGAAATACAATTCACAGAGTTCAGAAATGGCCCACGGGTAAGTCCACTATAGAGAAGTTCTATGCAGTAAGACGAAGAAACAATGGAGACAAACCACAAAAATCAGCTTCCCCAAACTCTCTGAGTAGATTCTAGAAAGTCAAACAGACATATTTATTTTTATGCTCCTTTCTGGAGACGTTGGTCTCCCCCTAGTGGAAGAGTGAAAGGATTAATGTCAAAAAGCCCTTTATTCCCAGCCCTCAAACTGGGAGACGATCAACACGATTACCATTATAACTATAAATTGGGGACGGGGTGGGGAGGCATGTAAAAATGTAACATCTCTGATCTACTGAAATGAGACAATATCCTACAGAAATAAACAATGTAGAAAGTGCCCTCCCAGGATTGACATTATTTCTGAAAGAAATACATCAATTTTTAAAGCTGCCCATCATTTAGACCCATTATGTAAGTAACTTACTGTATATATCGGAATCATCTGTTAGTATCCACACTTTGAAGTGACCGTCTTTGCTAGCGGTAACCAAGGTGGGGGTTTCAGCTTTTTCTGCGTTGCAGAAACAGAGGGCTGTGATGTGATCTTCATGGGGCATTCCAATCTTTGTGTTAAGAACAAACCTATTAGAAAACAGAAACTGATTCTTACACTCGGGCAGTATACGTCATCACAAGATTTAGTATTTTCACCCGGAACCACAGACGGAGAGCTTTACTTATATACAGTCATAGCTATAGAGTTCTGATGCATAGTATATGTCTCTTTGGGGCTTACATTAGCTCTCAAAGCTGATTTTCAAGCTTGTGATAAAAAATGATCTGTGGTGTAGCAGTTACTTGTTGGGTTAGTAATACACAAGGGGAATAGTTCAAAACCATCAGTCGCTGGATGGGAGGAAAATGTAGCTTTCTACTTCTGCCAAGAGTCTTGGAAACCCGTAGGGGCAGTTCTACCCTGTTCTATGAGTCAGCATCGACTCGATGGCAGTGAGTCTGTCTGTTTTGGTTTGGAGACCAGGATTGGATAGTGTACTGATTCAGAAAAGGCAGCCTTGGGTCCAAATTCCTCCTTTATCACTTCTAACAGGGACATCTTGGAAAACTGCCTTAACTCTTTGGGTCAGTTTTTTCATGTGCAAAATGTAGGTAACGGTGGTTATTCTATACCGATCTTGTGAAGATCAGTAAGACAATGAGCACAAAAGTAGCGAGCCTAGTTCATGGATGCACTGGAAGGATGTGATATATGATGACTATGGTACAAGAATCCACTGGGGGACGGAGACACACACACACACACACACACACACACACACACACACACAGAGTTCTGCCCATCCTGCTTGCTCTTCTGGAGAAGAAAACACTGTAAGAAGAGCAAGGCAGAAATCCGGACCTTTGGGTCTAAGCAGGCTCGGCTGTAATTTCTTATTATATTCCGAGGAAAGCACTTCTCCGTGCCAATAAACGACACTCGGTGACTAGAAGGGCACCAATGATTACTCAGAATAGAAAGCTGAGAATATTTTTAGCTCTATCTTTAATCTCTATTTTTCCAAATCTGAGAAAAATCAAGCAAAATAAACATCCTAAAAGCTGACAATTAAAAGAAAACAACAGAAAGCTAAATATACTCTGAAAAGCAGTCACAGAGGTGGCCTTACCCTTGTGTTTTCTTATTATAGGCCCACAGCTTCATTTGCAATTCAAGTTCTGTCTCCTTCTCCTGCCGCTGCTCCACCGTGGCAAGCCAGCTGCCCTGGCAGCCGAACGCCGCTTTGGTTAGCTCTATCTGGACCAGACCACAGTCATTGATATATTCCTGCTGTATGATATCCAACTGATGGTTAAAAAAACAAATTAAGAAAATGCTATTAATGTACATGCATAAATACGAAACACTCATGAAGTGATAATAAACCACACCCTACTTGATTTCTAGAATCCATCACAATATATTTTGAGGGGGGAAAAATGAACAATTGGTCATGGCCTCGAAATTGCCATTGAAAAGGGGAGCACAGTATAGACGACCAACTAGGGAATGTGTCTTTTTCTGTATCAGCAACGACCACGAAGAGCAAGTACAAGACAGAGCCTTTCATTTGTGGCCTCGCCCTCCTAACACCAAAGCACTCCAGCAAGCATGTTTCCACTAGAAGCCGCGAGGAAAGCAGAGGTAGGACGCACAACTTTAACAAATGAAAAATGCACCCAGTCTGCAAGTAGGTCAGCATTTATCTGTCTCTTTTAAGAATTTTCTCAACTATTTACTAACCACGTATTAAGTGCCTATGTCTTCCTGGCATTGTACTTGATGTGAATAAACCAAGGCCAAAACAAAGGTTCATGTTCTACAGAGTTTAAAAGTGGAGAGAAAGAGGCAAAGTATTACAGTCACTATGTTAGAAATCTGTACAGGGTACTGTGGTGGAAATCAGGGAAAAAGAAGGGAATTCTATATTTTCAGGACTGTAAGAAGTGTTCTCTTTTAATTTACACTGAAATTCCATTTTCATTACGCAATTTTGACACTGTTTATATCCTTATCTATGTAACTAAACGTCTGGGTGTAATCGCAAACAAAACAGAAATGCAGCAATGGCAAGTGTTTGTGAGAGACAGGGGCCTCGGTGCAGACTTACTCTGCAAGCACAGCCCCGAAGAGCGAGGCTCTGAACAATGGGCTAAGTGAGCCTGGGGAACTCCGACAACGTCCCAATGAAAACGGCAGAGGGCCTCCTTTCAGAACCCACCAAGTAAGTTACAGGACCCTCAGTCTCAAGGCAGGTGAACTGACAAAACCTTACATTGTATAACTGCTTGTCATTTTGGAGGGAGTAAAACTGCAGGTGGCCAGGCTTGCCATTCAAAACCAAAGCTCTAGTCCTTGGGTCAATCAACAAACCAGTAAAGATACTCCGGTCTGCAAAAGAAGTGACAAACAACAGTTGAAATCCAAAGACCACTTTTAAAATGTATTGATTCCAAATCCACTGTGTTCTCAGGTACCTTTCACTAGGCCTTGAATTACTGCAGATGCCTCAAGGTTTCGGTGAATGACTGTTATCTCTGTGGGTTAAAAAGACATAGATTTATGAACATCAATTGGTCGGAAAAGACACTTGAATTTGTATCATTCTAAAATGGGCCACAATCAAACACCAAACCAAACCCAAACCCGTCAACTTCATCCAGTGAGTTCAATGAACAGGACCGCGCCTGGAAACACAGGGATTCTGCGCATGACTAGACGTGCTGGAGCCTCGCTGCTTTGTTGATTGTGCCTCTGAACGTACTTTAAAGTTAATCCAGGAACTATAGACTCCAAGCTGGAGGGTAAGATGTTTTACTTTGAGGTAATTCATTCTCCGAATGCACTGCTTCCAGTCATGTCTGTTTTGAATGGGAAGGCGGCCATGGGCCCATAGGATCCACAGAGCAGCCCGGGTCAAGGCTGAGTAGTAACAAGATGAACAAACAACTTCAGAGGAACACAGGATGGGCCTCACTTCTGTCGGAGTTCACAGGAGCCCACACTGACAACTCAGCTAATGATAATCCTGGATTCTATCTTGGAAATGTCATTATATTACAGAGCTCCACTTCAATACCTCTCTTTACTTCCCTGCTCACCCCACAGAACATGGTATTGAATATGTTGGTGGTATAATAATTAATTACTAGATGCACTTAACGGAATTTTCATAAAAGCTATCTTGAAAATGCTGAGTTTGGATGGCATTTGGGATGGAAAATGTGGTGAGAAGGAATGGAAAAAAAAGACTTCATTAAATCTTTCCCATACTTTATTAGCTTTAGGTACTTTTATCTGTCAAGCCCTACAGATGCTAACTGAAGGCATTTATAAACGATACACCCTCAAGGTAACAAAGCAGAGGGAGGGGACCTACTATTATCGGCGTGAGACGTGCAGAACAAGTCCCCTGCAGGTGAGACCGCGATGTGCTCGATGGTGGCCCCCAGGCGGGGGAGGAACTCCTTGTTCTTCTCTGAGGCGTCGCGCCACTCTACCAGCACGGACTCCCGGCCGCCGCTCAGCAGACTGGTGCCTGCTCCCCCACCAAGTGGAGCACAAGGGCAGCGTTTGGGGGGAAAAGAAAGAAAGAAAACCAAAATCACCCCCCTTTAATTTTTCCTATCATGTGGAAAACTCTCAAAAAAAAGTACAGATAATTGCCTTAAGATCTTTTAATACATTCAAGATAAACAATTTAAGTAAATGTTTTTTTATTTCAAAACAAAATTATTTCAAAAACAAAAGTTGTCAGGCTGGCGAAGAGAGCAAAACCTCAACTTACGCTGCTTGTGAGAGAGCTGAAGCCTAGGGCCAGTGAAAACACACCGCCCAAAACGCGTTATTTCTCTCTCCCTAACCCTTTCCTGAGAGCCACATTCACTGATCAGAAGCGCATTTGAACATGTCTGGCTTGGAACAGACTTGTGTGCACACGAACTGAAATGCGAGTAGCAACATTTACTGACTTACCCTTGTGTAGAAGGAACTACAGAAACAGAAACGCAAAAGTTTTAATTTATTCAGATACGAGTCACCAGTAGATGCTAAAATAAATGGGCCAAAGATGGCTAGATGCCAGGAGAGTAAGACAATCTCAAGGTAGCACTCCAAGGATCACTATTAAGGTAAGTAATAAGTAAATAAGACTACCTGTGAATTAAAAAACCAAAAGAAACAAACAAAAGAAAGCAAGCCAACTTCACCTCTCCATCACAATGAAGGGACGCACGAGAACAACGTGTTGTCCTCTGGGTGACTAGAGAGCCAGAACTCTATCTACCTAAGTAGTCTTCCTGCCTCCAGGTGATACTGTAAGAAGTCTGCACTGTGCAGCCAACGGAGATAAGGGGTGAAGGGGAAGAAGGTAAGAAAAGGGAGCTCGGGCAAGGGATCAAAAGAGAAAGACTAACCAGGCTAACCGTGGGAGTTTGGATGAAGGATACATGGGAATGCTCTTTCCCTTTTTTTGTTATCAGGAAGGGTGTAGACTTGCCTTCTTCCTGAAATGTTAGTGTTAGGAAGAACTTATCAGTGAATCCTCTGGACCTAAACAAGACCAGACTCACTGTCAAGTCTGTGCAGGCCCTATGGGGCAGGACAGACCTGCCCATTCGAGTGTCAAGACTGTAGCAGAAAGCCTCTTCTATCTCGAGCAGAGCTGCTGGTGGTTTGAATTTAGGACCTCACGCATAATCTAAGCAGCCCATCGCATGTCTTCTATGCCACCAGAGGATGGCTACTGACCTTGTGGAAACATTTTAAAATAAATGCTTCAAAGTCACAAAAAAGATATAGATGTACACACCTTTACCAACTATTTTTGGATGCTTTCTCAGAAAGAAAAATCACCTTTCCCCTGCCTTTTCACTTACACCAAGCAATAGCTTCCTTAGTCTCTAGTTTGCTTTTTGCAAGAGCAGCTACAACAGACTGACACAGTTTGTACCTGATGGGAGCGAGGGTCCTAAAAAAGGCAGGGTAACCAAAGAAAAAGTGTACTGATCTTTGTTTAAGACCACTGTGCTAAAGGACGTAATTGCACTCACAAAGAACCAAGCACTGTCATTGAGTCCATTGTGACCCAGTGACCCTACAGGACGGAGCAGAATGTCCCTGCGGGTTTCTGAAACTAAGTCTTTACTGGAGCAGAACCCCAACTTTGGACGCTGAAATGGTTGGTGGTTTTGAAATGCCGACCTTGCAATGAGCTGCCTAACTCACTGATTCCAACCTGACTCCAACTCAAAGGAAGCCTATAATGGGTTTCCAGTGATACATCTTTATGGGAGAAGAAAGGCTCATCTTTCTCCCTCAGAGAAGACAGGAGGTTAGAACCACCAAGGTTGTGGTTAGAAGCACAATGCCCAACCCACAGGGCTATCAGCTCAAGTGGAATAAGTCTAAACTAATTTAAAATAAGGATGAGTACAAGATTGAAGAATGTTCTAAAACTGATTGTGGTGATGATTAACGACTGAATTGTGTATGTGAATTATATGCCAATAACACTACTGGGGAAAAATAAAATACCGGTAGTCAATGTTGAATGAGGCAATCTAGCATAAACATGAGCTCTGGAATCAGATATAGATTCCAATCCCACTCACTAGCCATGTAAGGAAAGTTAGTCCCCAACTCCAGGGCTCACTGCATTCTTCTGGAAAATGAGAATGAGTCCTCTATCCGTGGCAAGGGTTAAATGAGACGATGGATAAAAAGCACTAATGTGGTCCTTGTCACCTGATAAACCAAGCTAAAGCTATTAAGTAGTATTTAGTTGTAAAGACACATTCGTGTGATTAGGCTCTTTACATGAATTAAAAACATATAAAGTTATAGCTATATAGTTAAACAGGAGCCCTGGCAGCATAATAGGTTACACACTGGGTAATATCTTGTAGTTTCAAGGCCAGTAGTTTGAACCCACCAGCTACACTGTGGGAGAAAAATGAGGATTTCTGTTCCCATAAAGATTTTTGGTCTTGGAAAACCCACGAGGGTTGCCACGCGTCGGAATCGACTCCGTGGCGGCGGTTTGGGTTTTGAATGCTGAGAGCGGATGATAGAGGGAGTCCTTGAACCCGGAGTCCTCGAGAGCGCGAGCACAGGTACTGCACACAGCGGAGCTCAGGACACAAGGTGCCGCAGGCTCACAGGTCCTTTGGCCCACTCGATTCTACATCTTTCAAACTGTCAACATGGTGACATACTTTAAACCCGTACTCACCTGTCACTGAAAAAGCCAAGTCCATAACCCCATCATGGTGCCAATGTAAACATGTGTATGTGTATTTCTTATCATCATCAAAATTCCTCCTAGGAAATAAAAAGCAAAGTTTGTTAGACTGAAGTACAAATTAGAGAAAACGTCAAACCAAATACTGGGATAAACTGTAATATCAAGGTTACTTACAAGTTAATTCTTCTAACCTGAGTCATTTCTACAAATAAACCATCCGTGGTTTATTTCTAGCCAGATATTCACTGTAGTCATACTTTGCTAATTTTTAGAAAGGGCTCGCAGAAAGTCCTCATTAAAATGGTTATATGCCATATGGGGATTTCCCATGTTCCAGATGGAATTATGCTCCCCCAAAGATGTTGCAAATTCCAACTATCATGCCTGTGGTGATGATCCATTTGGGGCTGCACTGTATTGGTTATAGCAAAGGTCTCTTTTGAGACAAAAAGAGATTGCTGTATTTTAACACAGAACAGAGCATGCGTGGTTTTGGAAACCACAGGCCCTGCTTGCACATCAGTTGCCTACGCTCCATGTGCATGTTTAGACGAAAATAATATGGTGAGCAGCAAATAGCTGGGGGAGAGAGCTGCCTACCCACGAGAGGAGAAAGACATTCTCGCAGAGCAAGCAGGGCAACAAAGCTTTCCCCTCCAGCTAGCACCCGGAATTTGGACTTTGAGCCTTTTAAATTTTGAGAAAAGAAATCTGTTGCCAGAGACACCCACTTATGGTAGTTCTGTTACAGGAGCCAACCTATGTGCCCAAAGGCAGACAATTCTAGAGCCACAATCTGCGAAATGAAGAACATAATAATAAAAGCAAAGAAGGGTGCCAGTAAAGTCTACCATCTTTCAAACAGTGGGTTTTCAGTATTCTCCCCTTCCCTGGATGCAGAGATAGTCCTGTTATGCAGGACAAATATGAAACAGCACACAAATAATCCTGCCGTCGTCGTGAATGAACTGACCACAGACGGATTTTGCCATCCTTGTGACCAGATGCTATGCAGTCTTCTTTTGGGTGGCACGCAACACAGGTGAAATCGTTCCTGGAGTGCTTCTTATTTTTTGATGATGATAAAGTAAACCTAGGATGGGGGAGAAATCCCTTTATTAGCAAAATCTCTTGTAAGAAGTATATACTGTATACACTTGCATATAAGCCAAGTTTCCCAGCACATTTTTAATGCAGTTTCTGTGGTAAAATTAGGTGCCTCAGCTGATATTCAGATTAGCTTATAATTTAGTATATACGGTAGTTAAGAGAGTTCTCCCTCTTTCAACTCAAGTTGGGGAATTCTCAGAATCAGTGAATGAAAATGCAAGACTTTTTAAAAAGAAAATTATGATTAAGAACAAAGCATTTTGTATTGCAATTATCAACTGGGGGCTTCAAAAAGTTCATGGAGAAGTGGATTCAAAGATAATAGAATTCTTCCATCAATGTTTTGAAGTTTCCTCCTAATAACATACAAATATAAATATTACATGGCTAATGTTTTACCAGAGACTGGCCCATGGAAGCCCACTGACTTTTAAGTAAAAACAAAAACAAAAAAAGTATTGTCCACGGTTTTCTGCAAGGCAACAGATGACTTCTCATTTTACTATCATGTATGGACAGGTCTAAGAAGTTATATCCGAGACATTTGGCTAAGACACCTAACGCAATGCTTTTCAACCTATGGTGTCCACCCCTTTGGGGTTGAATAACCCTTTCACAGGGGTCGCCCAATTTGTAACAGTAGCAAAATTACAGTTATGAAGTAGCAACGAAAATAATTTGATGGTTAGGGGTCCCCACAACCTGAGGCGCTGTAGGAAAAGGGTGCACCATCAGGAAGGCTGAGAACCGCTGAGCTAGAGGGACAAATCCAAAGGGACGTACTTGTGTGGCGTCATTACTCGGTTTAGCATTAGATTCTTTATGCTCTTATTCACCCTACAGCTTTGTATTAGGAGCTTGTTATCCCCGTTTATAACTGAATATGAGCTACAGTGGGGTACAAATGGGCTAAACAGCACTCATTTGAAATAGGTAGCCAGAGGCTTTTATTAATTCCTATAGCTATAAAATGGAAATTAGAATTACCTGGAGAAGGATTTAGAAAGTTTTGGACTACATGTATAAAATAAAAACATAATCCTTTAGATTGAAAAAAGAAAAAAGGTTATTTAAAAGGAATTCTTACCTTGATGTTGTTTTCTTTTTGAAAAAATAAACTGACAAGTAAAAGTCCCGAACTGCTGCAACATATTCTCCCTGGCATTTCAAAGAGAAGATACTGTAGCAATATTCTCTAAGCGTATTCTCGCTATACAAGTTATCACAGTACAAAGAACTTGGTTTAGTACTGAGTCTATTAATATACGTTACATATTATATTGTGACTATGAAGAGCATCACGTGCATTTGAAATGACAGAAACCCAAAAGATGAACTTTGGCCCTACCTAATTTTTTTTCCATCATGGCACACTTATGTCCAATGAAATGCAATTCTGACATCATTATGAGGACTTAGATCCTTTCTGTCACTCAGAAAGCTCCCGGGTCCCTGCTCCCAATGCCCCTTCTCCTGCAACAACTGTTTTCCATCACCGCATTTCCTATCTACTCTACAACTTCCCACGAACAGAATGGCGAATACACACGATTTTAGTCATGCTGTTGACTGCACTGGCAGTTCCATTTTATTGTTGCAGTGTTCCACTGAACCACGTACAACCGCAACGTGTCTGTTCTCTGGGTCAACACGAGCGATTCTTCTTTTGGTGGTTCGTAGGCAGCACTGTGGAAGCATGGTAAGGGGCTTCAGTGCACCCACCAGCTGCGCCAAGGGAGAAAGATGTGTCCGTTGGCACTGGGAAGGGTTTACCATCTTGGAAACCCAAGGAGCAGTTCCATCCTGCTGCATCACTATCAGTCCCCACCCACTAAGGGGACTTAAGGGCAGTGCACTCAGGAAGCCATCTTTTTGGTGTTAGCTATTTTGTGGGCATCTTTCTGTATGCAGGAGTGATATTGTTGGTGTACGTTTGATTTTGTTCTGCATTCTTGGCAATATTTGGTATTGCCAATCTCTTTAGGTTTAGCTGCTCTGGTGGATATGAAGAACTATCTCAATGTGATTTTAATTTGTATTGACCAAATGACTAGTATCCTGAAGAATACAAATGTTGAAATGTTACTGAGAAATTAATCTTTTCAGGACAAAGACAAATAAGGCCCAACAAGATGACACTTTTAAATCACAATGGAATAAAAGCCAGTACGTGAAAGGTTTTGAGAGATGCTGGAGGAGCCTGGTGCCACAGGAGTTATGCTTTGGGCTGCTAACTGACCGCAAGGCCAACAGTTTGAACTTGCCAGCCACTCCGAGGGAGAAAGACGCGGCTTTCTATCCCATAAAGAGTTGCAGTCTAGGGGCAGTTCTATCCTGTCCTATAGGGTCATTGGCGTAGGCATCGACCCCTTGGCAGTGAGTCTGGCTTTTTGAGAGGTGTTACAGGAAATAAAGGCAGAATGTTTCTTCCTTAGAAGTGAGGATGGTGAGAATTTGCTTCACATCCTTTAGACAGCTTATCAAGAGAGATCAATCGGTTCCTGGAAAAGGGCTCCATGCTTGACCAAGTAGAAGGGCAGTGAAAAAGAGGGAGACCTTGAGGTGGACTGACACGAGGCCACAATAGGCTCAAGCACAACTGTGAAGAGGGTGCAGGACCGACCACAGTGTTTCCTTCTGCTAGACACAGGGACTCTGTGAACTGGAACCAACTTGATGGCCCCTAACAACATATTCATGGACAATTACATAGTTACTATCTTTGAAGAATACTTACTCATATAGTTTCATTTTTAATGAAACAAACAAACAACAAAAAGCCTCCCCAAACAAACCAGGATAAAAAGCCCCTGGGATCTTATTTTATCTTGGGAAAATGTATTTTGTTTATGTATAAGGAAAAGACTAAGGAGCCCTGGTGGCACAGTGCTTGCTCACTCATCTAAAGCTTGGTGGTTGAAATGCAGCAGCTGCCTTGGCAGTCTGCTTCCATCGAGATTAGATGTGAAGACTGAGACAGCTCCACTTTCACGGTCCCTATGATCTGAAATTGACCTGATGTCAAGGAGTTTTAAGAAAAAGAGTAGAAGTGCCCTCAAATATTATCACTGGTCATATAACAGATTTCATTTTTAATCTCCAATTTTTCTGTAATGGGTATCTTAACTCTGGATAAACTAGCTATATTTTCTAAAGATGTATAATCTCAAATAAGAGGTGTAGCTTTTGGGTGGAAGAGTTAATGCCACGGTATTGATTTTTGAAGGGGGAAATTAGAGGGCTACCATCACAATACGATGAAATACACAAAATTAGGATGGTTCAAGAAAATCTGTAAGATAAATCACGCTAAAACACCTAACAGACAAAGATAATATTAACACAATAGAAGGAAAATGTCCAGAGGACAGGCTGTAAAAGAGATTTTATGCACACAAAAGAAAACCAAGAAAACAAAATTTTACCTCATTTCCAAAGGCAATGCACTTGGGCGACTGGTTTATAAAATCCAAAACAATGGAGATCTCCTTGGCGTCTCCTTCTTGACTTGATGATTTTGGCAGCCTCACTGAAACCAGCTGAAATATATCTAGCCAAAGGAAGCTATATTAATATAAAGCTGCTTTAGAGAAGGCGAAAATGTATGATTCTTATAAATTTTATATGGAACTGTTGTCTAGAATTCTTTTAATGCCAAGATAATTTTAGCTAGTCTTAAAACAGCCTCAAAGCTGGATTCTATTGGAATATACTAGTTTTAAATGGGAGCTTATTTCTACAACTCACATATAGGTACAGCTATACCCATTCTATGTAAATATGTAGAAGGCAACGTGTCTTCTTGGCACAAGGTACTAAGCTGTGCATTAAAATGAAGATGGAAATGAATATTGGTCAACAGAGCAGCCAGATGCAGTAAGCCATCTGATAAAACTTTGAGACACGCTATGGATCCCCTCAGTATTTCACTAATAATTTCTTTTTCTATGAGAAATATGTTCTCTTTACAGTTGTTAATAAGATTTCTCCCCTATTTTATCAGGCTCCCTTGCCGCCCTAGATTTTACAGTGACTTTAAAACTCTGCAACACACTGATCTATTTTTTCCAGTTTCACAAATCCGTTTTGTTCTCACTCATGTCAACATGAGTGAATTCCTGATAGCTCTTTCTAAATGTAGCCTTTCACAAACACTAACATCGTCAACGACACCGACTAGGTGTTTAGACCTCTAGATGTTTGGACCCAATTCTTGAGTCTCCTGACTCTTCTCAAACCTCACATCAAATTACTGGTAAATTTTGTTGGCTGTACCTTCAAAATACATCTAGTCAGTGACAGAGGGGAAAAAGAAGTTATCTTGTACTCTACCTGGTTTATCCTTATTTACTATAACAAAGACAGAATCCTCAGTGCGGGCAACAGTGAAAAGGCCATGAAGTTGATGTCCAACCACGAAGGTCTGAAAGAAAACGATCACCTGGATTACTGTCTGTCCACACCCATTGGCCACTCAAAGCACACCACATACTCACCGAGCAAGCTTTCAGGTTAACATGTGCAGACCTGATTCTCACAAAGAATTCCATAGTATTTTGAATGAATGTGTGTGTGTGTAATAAACTTAACGGGTCCCCTACCAATTGACATGTTCAGTATTTCCCCCATATCATAAATAATATTGCAGGAATTACATATATATGCCATTATTTTACTGAGAATCTTATCAGTGAACTTGGTAGAGCAAAGAATGGGTACTTGATCATTTTCAGTTTCACCTCGTTGAAAAGGTAGACAGGGAAATTATTCAGTGGCTTATGCAAATGCTACATTTTTTAGCATAGAAGCTCTGTCATTTGTTTTAATTTACATTTCTTTAATGATTATCTTTTCATGTCTACTTGGGAAAAAGATGAAGCTGCCTGTTCTGGTAAAGATTTATAGCCTGGGAAACCCTATGTAGGGTCACTAGGAATCAGAGTCCACACAGTGGCAATAGGCTTAGGCTTTTTTTTCCCCATGCTTACTGGCTATTTGTATTATTATTTTTGAATTATGTAATTAAATCCTATGCCAATTTCCCCACTAGATTATTAGATTTTGGGGAAGTTTTATGTATAATACTCCTGGGAAATGTTTTCTTCCAGCTTACTAAACTGCATTTTCAGGATTAGAAGTTGAACAATGTTCATTTTGATGTCTGACTTTCACATCTTGCCCAGGAAACCGGGTGCCTGTCACTGCAGTGTGCTGCTATTCCTGTCCAGACGAAGAAAAGGGAAGATCAATTCACGTACCTTAATCAAAATGCCATCTAGATAGTCCCACAGCTTAATTGTGCCATCAAATGAGCAAGAATATAGCTAAAAGGGCAAAAATAGTACCAAACTGATTAAGATAGAAATCCAGACTTCCCGATCCCAACACCAGAATTAAAGTCACCACTAAGAAGCCTTTAGCTTTCAGACAAATAAATCTTTTTACACAATTCATGTATGAAGTTTCTGTTTCGCTATGAAACTTGGTAACAAAGACGAAAATGTTCAATTATAACAGTGGGATACTTTTGCTAAGGGGGTTTATCAAATCCTTACAGCACAGCAAAGATAAAGGGGGTTCATGAAGAATACAGAGATGTAAACCCATTGTTGACTGGTCACTATGGGTGGGAGGCAAATAATCCAGAAATGCGAATCTACCAAAACTAGAGCAAGAGCTCCAGTTTTTTTGTGGCTTTGCTGTAACTTAAGAACAGAATTCCTTTTAATTATGCTTGAATTCTGAGAAGCAACGGTTGCTTCATGGGGAGATAAACTGGAGCTAACCCACTTCACTAACTAAGGAGCCACAACTAAAGAAGTCCTTCTTGTACATACCGGCCTCATTATAAGGTGACATCTGCATCAATTCTAAAGAGCCTCATCTTTATAAGGATAGATTTACCATGTTAACAACTCTAGACTAATATTTCCTGAAATGCGTTCCAATATTAATCCCTTAAGATAACTCTGAGGAAGTCAAAGATTCCAGAGGTCAAATCAGTTGAAGTCCGACAATTAAATTCATTTAACTGTTGGAACCCTGAATTTCAGAAATTCATGTAGGCAAAGATCCCCTTTCAAGTAATATCCATTAGCACCTTGTGGAATAAACAGTCCACAGAACACACTATGGGCAATGTAATTGTAGGCTGTGGTCTTACTTTACTATTAAAAAAAATAAGTGAACAATGTCCCGAATCTGGAATCAGAATGGCTATTTTTCTTCCTCTCACAACCTAAAAAGTTGACCAGTCAGGTTCAACTCAAAGTTTGCCACCTGGAGATGGTTGTTGGGGTTGAGCTGGATTCCGGTCACGGTCCTGCTGTGTCCATGCAGTATGTGCACACATTCTTCTGTCCTTGTGCTGTAAATTTTAACAAAGTCCCCCGAGGCACAGAAGAGATACCTGGAGATGAGAACAAAATACGTTTCAGATACACTCTATAGACACTATAATCCTTTTGTCTGTGACAAAAGAACAAACAAAAGCCCAACATGCAGAAGCTTCTTCCAAAACAAAATAGATGTTTACATGCTACATTAATACTTGTGTGCTACTTCAGGCTATGAGGAAAGCTAAACTGTCCACTGACTCAGAAGAGTCAACCAATGAGGCCAGTCTCTGTTTGATCTGATCCACAGATGCAGGCTGCACAGACCATCCTGCAAAAACAATGTATCTTGTGATGCTGCCTGAGGTTGCTACTACCCTATTTTATCAATTCTATGATACGTGACTTTCCACATGTTCAACTCTCTGAAATTAGCATGCATCTTACAATCAATGGGATCTTACAGCTGTTTATGAATGGCCAATTATAATATAATGGGCTTTTATAAATGTCTGCTAATGATGAGGTTGTGTGGAAACCATATACTAAGATAAAAAAACAAAACCACTGGCAACAAAGCATCTGAAATATATGATTTCTTATTTATTTGGCTAGATCTTCCTCTCTTATTCCCATGAGTACCTTAGTTCACAGTGCATGATGGGTAATAGCAGAATACACATTTGGATAGAGTTGACTAGATCAGGAAAGACCATGAAAGACAGAAGACCTGCAGTTACAGAGGGGAACAGAAAATGTTTCCAGATTTCTGAGCAAGACTGGCTGAGGATTGATTAATGATAGTAATACTTACGGGGCTGTTTCAGCTCTTGACGGCTCTGGTCATTTTTACCTGATATATATAGCCATTCAGTTGAGCTATCTCACAGTGACCCTGTAGGACAAGGTAGAACTGCCCCTGGGAAGCTTCAAGGCTGTGAAAGTGTTTATGGGGGAAGAAAGCCCTGTCTTTAACCCACAGAGCAGCTGGTGGTTTCCAACTTAAAACTTTGCTGTTAACAAAGTGTAACCAGTACACGGCAAGTGAAATACACAACAGAACTGTGGAAAGAGTACACTAGAGGGGAGACTTCTGGATTAAGATCAGTCCAAAGTGGAAACCACTGTCAAAATTCTTAAAGCCTCAGTATCCTTCATTGATTCTCAAGGATCATCAAAACCACTTTTAATTGTGAAAACCAAGGACTCAAAGAGAAAAACATTTTTGAAGGGAATTTTTGCAAGCTCCTCCAGTCATCTGAGTATTTAACAGTTATCTGCCATATTCTCACATGCAAGAGAATGAGGGAGACACAACTTTCCCAAGTTACCATTTCTAGTCTTTAATGACAGGGATTAATTTAGTGTCAATGTATGCTTCGATTATGTGGCAAACTTTATTACAATGTGTTACTTCTAGATGACAATATAACAAGACTGATGATGGTAATTGACTGACGTTCCAAACACTGTTCTACATCATTACATATACTAAAGGCATCTAATCCTCCCACAGCCCTCAGAGATGGTCACTAAGTGTGAGATGGAACTGAAGCAGAGATGAAGGAATTTATCGTGAACATAAATGGAAGAACTGGGTTTCAAATTTTATCCCATGCAGAATCGATCGCCAGTTTCCAAAGAAAGCTCCAAAAAGGTTGGCCACGTGCCTTATTTTCCCCCCCGGGGAAAAGCTGAATCTTAAATTCAGTAATCCCAGGACACGAGTCCATACCAGTTAAGGAGTCGCGCTGTTGCAAATGCATCGGCATCCATACTATCCGTCCCCAGAGCGGAGCCTAGGAACACGTGGGCCGCCGCCCGTACGCCCGCACTTACACCCGCAACCCGCCCAGCGGCGGGGGGCGCGCCCCGGCGCTTTCCACACCCGCCCCGGCCCTGGCGGGTGTGCGGGGGTCTCCCGCTCCGGCGCCCCTTCCCCCGCGCTCCGCTCTGGCGGCCCCGGCGCCCCTCCGCCCGGCCCACAGAGCCCCTTACTTGGAGTCCGCAGAGAACACCGCTCTCCTAAAGTTCAACTCGCTGCCACCGCAGCGAACCACGCGGAGACCTCCCTCCTCCACCATCTTCGCGCAGACGCACGTTCTCACTCCAGCCAGCCCCGCCCCGCCGCGTCCGGCTCCAAACTTCCAACCTGGGGCCACAGCGCCCACGGGGCTCTCTAGGCTTCAAGCTCGATGGTAGCACCTAGCGCCTGGGCGGCCATTTTTCATTTGGGCAACGTTAACCTGGAACACGTTCCCCAGGCAAACCACCGAGGGAGAAATACCCCATTTACATGAGATCTTTCTACACTATTATGTGTTATAGATTTCTCTCCGGCCTGCTCAATCCGATTCCACAGCTTTTTCCCCACTAGAAAAGTGGCTCAGGCGATATCACGCGAACTCCAGGCCGCCCACTCCAGGTACGGCTGGTGCCTCGGTCGCGTGGCGATGACGCCATCGTCCTGTGGCGATGACGCCATCATCCCGCGCCACGCTTTCTAGTCCCTGCGGGAGGCGCTCGCTAGCTGTCTGTCACTGGTTTCTTGCTCAAAGTATCAAAAGCGTTCCCAGCGGATCTGCAGGGCCGAGGTACTGGCTTTGACCTTTGGGAACCTGGACTCTGAGATCTCGTCGCACCCTTTCCCTGACCCACCGGGCCAATGTGGCGTCAGCCTTCACGCTGACCAAGCCTCGTTTAAGTGGGCTGTGCTGCGCGTGTCCCCCTCCAAGGCCGCGGTCCCTGTGTGCTGGAATGCCCTGAACTTCGAAGAGGTTTATCTTATTTTACGTTTACATTAGTTTCTAGCTCCTTAAAAAACTTAGCGTGGTGAATATACTAAGTCAGGTACCATCCAGTGTTAACATACATCCCAGTGACGGTTACATTCCTCATGCTGGGCAGCCGCCATGCCATCGCAATTAACATAACTGCAGCGCAGCCTAAGCACAATCCTCCCCTTCCTTGCTTTCAGCCCTGTTTTTTGTCCCCCGTGTTAATCTGCTTTCTTTTTTTTTTTAAATCCTTTTATTAGGGGCTCATACAACTCTATCACAATCCATACATACATCAATTGTGTAAAGCACATTTGTACATTCATTGCCCTCATCATTCTCAAAACATTTGCTCTCCACTTATAAGCCCCTGGCATCAGGTCCTCATTTGTCCCCTCCCCCGCTCCCACCTCCCTCATGAGCCATCAATAATTTATAAATTATTATTTGTCATATCTTGCCCTATCCTACCTCTCCCTTCACCCACTTTTCTGTTGTCTGCCCCACAGGGAGGAGGTCACATATAGATCCTTGTAATCAGTTCCCCCTATCCAACCCACCCTCTCTCTACCCTCCCAGTATCGCCACTCACACCACTGGTCCTGAAGGGATCATCTACCCTGGATTCCCTGTGTTTCCAGTTCCTATCTGTACCAGTGTGCATTCTCTGGTACAGCCCTGTTTATTGATAATGATCGTTGGTTTCTGCATATTTGCTGATTTCATGTAAGTGAGATCATGTAATATCCGTCCTTTGGGACTGATGGATTTCACTCAGCAGTGCTTTTGAGGCTCTCGCATGTCACATTCATCTGGACTTCATTTCTCTATGTCTCAGTATGTATGTAAATACATACTCTATGTCTTGATGTATATAAATACCCATCTTGTTCATTTGTTGATGGGCACATGAGGGGGTAGGCCCCCTCCCCCCAATGGAGAAAAGCTCCGCTTGTCAGAGACACCCTAGATGAGCACTGAGCTACTACTGATTCTGAGTTCGTGCACCCAGTGGCTTGCCTGGGAATTTTCTCTCTGGTCACAGAGATTTTTTTCTTGAAAGCAGTTTCCCCTCGAACCTCACTTTTGTGCTGGCTGAATTAATAGAACAGCGTGCAGCTGTGAAATTTTGTTTCCTGCTTGGGAAAAGTGCTGCAGTAACTGTTGTGATGTTGAACGCAGTTTACAAGGACAGTGCTATGGGAAAAACTGAAGATAACGAGTTGTTTGCTCATTTCAAAAAAGGCGAAATGTTGATTAATGACAAACCTTGTTCTGGATGTCTGTCAACTTCCTGAACAAAATGTTGACAAAATTCGTGCACCTGTGCTAGAAGACTGAACAAAATTCGTGCACCTGTGCTAGAAGACTGAACAAAATTCGTGCACTTGTGCTAGAAGACCATTGAAGAGATGGGGAAGTTATCTGGCTTATCTTGGAGCTTGGTTCAGTGAATTTTAACAGAAGATTTGTGAATGAGAACGGTTGCTGTGAAATTTTGCCTCGGGTATGCCATACTTTGAAAGAACAGCTCCAAAGCGACCCACATTCCTTCCCCCCACCCCCAAGGTCATTACTGGTGAAGTGGTATGGTGAAGAGCCTATTCTGATGACCCCAAAAGCAAACATCAATCAAGCCAGTGGAAGATGCCATCGTCACCTTGCCCCCTCCCCTCAAAAAAAGCTCTTTAAGGGAAATCAAAGATCAAGACAATGCTCTTTTTCTTTTTTCTTTTTTTTTGATGTGAGGGGGATAGTGCATTTGGAGTTTGTTCCACCAGGTCAGACTGTTAATCAATCGTTCTATTTAGAGCAGGGGTTCTCAACCCTTTCACAGAGGTTGCCTGATTAATAACAGTAGCAAAATTATAGTTATGAAGTAGCAACGAAATAATTTTATGGTTTGGGAGTCACCACCACACGAGGAACCGTATTAAAGGGTCACGGCATTAGGAAGGTTGAGAACAACTGATTTAGAGGTTCTGAAACGATTGTGTAACAGTGTGGGACACAAAAGCCAGACAGGACTGGTTTTCCCACCATGACAATGCACCTGCTCATGTAGCCTCTCAGTGTGCCATTTTTTTTAGCAAAAAATAGTACGTCTCTTTTGCCCCATGCCCCTTACTCACCTGACCTTGTTCATCTGACTTCTTTTTGTGTCCTCGAAGTGGGACACGAAAGGACAGCAATTTGACAATGTAGAAGAAGTGAAGAAGAAAAAAAAAACACGAGGGAGGTGCTGTCAGCCATCCAAACAGATGAGTTTGAAAAATGTTTCAAGCATGGAATCACAGATTTGACAAACATATTAAGTGTAATGTGTGGGGTTAAGGGGAAGAGGGAACCCCACAAAACATCACAGGTTCGGTAGGCGCAATTGTACAGCGATAATAAGTAGAGATTATAGTAAAGTCATAGAAAGCATGAGAGTTAAAGGATGGAGTCAAGTAATGGAGTCAGACACAATTCATGGTAGCATAGCTCACCTCAGCTAGGCTTGATGGTCCTCGTGGAGGGGGCTTAGCCGTCAGAGAAGAAGCCGCTGCTTCGTCCTCCTTAGTCACCTTCTCCAGCCACCCTCCCGAGAACCAGGGAGCCTCATTATTTATTGCTAACCACGCATCATAGAGTCATACATCACAGAAAGGGGCAATACAATTCATTCTAGGACAAGTTTGATCACTCTAATGTCTCATATAATAAAACAGACAATTACTATTCTGGGAGGCATGCAAGTTCCCTGATAGTGGACAATAACCTGAGTCACCAGGAGGGGTATTAACATAGGGGTAGTAACATAAGCAATACAATCAATAGGAGGGGAATCACCTAGGGGTGTGCCCACATTGGTTGTGGAATAAACAGTGGTGTCTGCTTGATCTAGACAGCTGATAATGACTAACTAACCTTGGTCACCCTTGGGTGGGTTTGCCCTCTCTGGTATCTCCTGCAAGTGAACAGACCACCATTATCCTTATCAGAAGGGAGTGGGTCTTATTTAGGGTGAGTCAGACTAATAGTCTAGCCACTATAGATGGCTGATGTTAAGGAGAATAACCTCTGACCTACTTTCTCTGATCACCTATTGTACAGTCACTCTTAAGCAGCTAAGTCTGGTACATATTTTGGGGAGACAACTTAAGAGAAATCCTTCTGTTCCTCACAGTAATGGAGAGTAGTTTGATGGTGGCAAGGTGGTTTTGTAAAAAAAAAGAAGAAGAAATACATAGGTTTGGGGAAAAACATTCTGATTTGTGGGGAGGGGATACCCCGTTGTATTGTTTAACCATTTGGCTGTTGTGTAAAGTAGGCAATAAACATTGGCATATAGGTTTCTGTTTGTGTTCTGTCTTCAGTCCTTTTGTGTCCATACCTGGAATTGATGCTCAACTGTTTGGGGAACCACCAGCCTGTCTTCCACAATGATTACAGTATTACATTCCCACCAGCGGTGCGTGAGGGTCCGAATCCTTTTATATAATGGTATAGCCCCATTTCGTTATTCCTTTATTTTGAGAATTGCCTATCTTTATTTAATCATTGATTCAGTAATTAGCTACCGATGGCCTCTGTGCCACTCTTGACGGGAAAGAGCCGTGGCCAGCTTAACTTGAACTGGAAGAGGAGAGCTATCTGCCTTTACATTTCAATCCTTGGCTCCTTGAAACTTACTGCCCCACTTCAGTGTGCCTCCTGAGCATGGGGGCGGCGCCTTGGGATGAGCATTGGGACACTAATCTCAGGGTTCAAACCCACCGACTGCTCAGGAGAGAAAGATGAGGTTATCTGTTGCAGTCAAGTTCTAAAGTCTCAGAAACCTATGTGTCAGAACAGTTCCAGGCAGCGAGAGTGTTGACTCAATAGTAGTGGGCTTTGGTTGGGTTTGGGGTAAGTGTGTCTGGAGGCAAACAATTCTTGAAGGCCTTCTATGTGTGAGATACCATGCAAGACAGGGAAAAAGCTTAATGCACTGTACAAATGTGGCCTGGCCATATTTTAATGTAGCCTCTATATTTTGACCTGGCAGACTAGCTGTGGGAATATTTCCTAGAGAGAAAAGCACAATGATATATATAAATGGATATTGATTACTGAATTGTCCATATTGGTAAGCAAGCAAGCAAACAATCAAAACTTGTCAATAAGTGCATTGATAAATAGTTCCTGCTGGGGGATGCTGTACAGTCAATATTGAGCATGAATGATAACTATGTATTTCAGATGACAGTTTCACAAAGATCTGCCGAGCCACAAAACAAGAAGCAGACACATGCATACAATAGGAACCCCTGTTCATCTCTTTC